AAATTATTTCGACTAAGTAATTCCGAGCGGTTAATTATTGTGCACAACCTGGGAGGAGAGTTGAGAATGTAATTATTATTAAACTTTACGATTGTCTCACTTTACCCCTTTCTCAAGTATCAAAGTATCCATACGACTCACCCGACACAACTCTACAATGGAATTTAAATTCTAACACAACAGCACAAAGGTTTATATTAAGGAAACACAAAGAGGATGTAATATGGCTTTACTTTGATACATCACATCCTTAGATCCTTAGGGGGTTTCTTAGCTTGTTGCGGATTCATATTTGAGCTGCCGTCTGAAATTTATAGATGTAGGTAGAATTTCCAGTAGCATTAAATTGTAGAACAGGTAAGATATAATTGAAATAAAACTCCTTCGCTGACAAAGAGAGGGACGTAAATATTATTTTTATTGTATCCACAAAAGCAATTACTTTTGAATATTTACAAACCTTTCAGCAAATTCAGCAGCAAGTCAAATCAAGTCGTTATAATTTTAATATTTTTTTTCACTAACGTGGACGTAAGGTAAATCGTAAGGATTTATTAGTTAGATGCACGTTATGTGCACTAACAGCAGGGTAACTAAGGTTTCTCATCCATAATGTTCAGTGACACAAATAAACATTGCGTCAACATCGTATTTTCTACATAATAAATAGTTACATGCTTGATTTGCTGTATTGCTATTTAGTTTATTAGTCTGCCATTTAGTTTCCGTGTAGAGGCGAACTGTCTGACCGTATTAGGGTCCTTGCCGGGCGTAAGTCACAATGCGCTCGATATTGGAAGTGCGTCCGCTAGATGGCGCGCGTGTGGTCGCGTCGCGTGCGCGTGCCGTGCGCGGTGTAACCGGAGCGACGCACAAGTAACACAATACCGCCGATGTCTCGCATATCGGTACATTGCAGCAATGGCATTTTAATATCCTAGCGTTAATGTCACTTATTGTTTACTTACATCCACGGCCGACTGATATGCGTAGACCACATTTTATGCGGCGCTAGATTAAGTCGAGTGAACGCGCGACCACTCTCAATGCACTCTGATATTTGTTCACCAATTTAAATACTTTTTGTACTTCCCAATTTAGCCTTTTAGCCAAAATACAAAAACTTTTCTTTGACAACTTGTGAACGAGAATTCAATTTTTCTATTTGTTGCGCTAGAAATATTGCCTTTCAAGTATTTTAACTCTATGTCTCAAGTTTACAAAGCAGTAAAGTTTACACAGACACGAGGAAAACAAACATCGATTAAAATAATCGATATTCGCAGCACCTCGGTGAAAGAATGGCGTGAAAGCTGGCGCGGCGCGGCAACAATGCGTCGTTGGCAATATCAACGCGCGCGCATCGCGGGGGCTCGTTGCCCGCGGGCGGTGCTGGAACCTAGGAGCACAAAAGAACTACGACTAACCAGCTCTAGGCCTCTGATGGACAGCCTGGTTATTATTAACTTTGTTGAGTTTACTTACAATGCGATCTATTTAGTTATCGGATTGAGCTAACCAATAAAATATTCTTAGTTTGCACAACAGAATCTACATTCCTAGTTAACAATATTAGATTTTTTCCAAAACTAGTTAAATTTCATATTGCTGGCTTATAATTGTTACATATTGTTGGTGTATAGCCTAACAGTTGTTTGTATATTTTGTCATTTGTTCACAGTAATTAAAGCTACAATGATTTTATGCATTAATTGAAAACAAAGAGCGGTTTTTAGGGTGAAGCCACAAAATAATTAAAGCGCGGTTACATCCAGGCAGATAGCAGCCGTCGCCGGTCATTGTGTAAAAGCTTTCATATCAATTGAATCCATTAGCTGAGTACACAAGTCCTGTCTGTCTATTTGCTCATCAGTTTTTATCATTGGCCAGTTCGTGTTTGTTCGATCGGTCACTTCCACGTTATTGATGGCTTGATGCGATACAACGGACAATCGCTATTTGTGATCATCGCAATGCAAGCAAATTACACCTTTATTGCCTTGTCAATAAAACCTCCGCGCTTTTTATTGAGAGGTAGCTACGCCGGCGGCCGTGTTAAATTCTGCAAATGTTTGTTTGTGTAATTCCGTTAATGTTCCTACAGATTGATAATAAAACAGAAAATGGAATTGCCTCTCATGTGCTAGATAAATTATGACGCATATCCTCGAGTATTAATGTAACGGATAATAATTTAATTTTTGTGATATCTTCACATTTTTATCTTAATATGTTAATATGTCTAACAATACTTGATATTTTTTGTTTAACAGTTTTTTTTTTACAATTTGTACCTCAATCAGAAAGTATTTTAAAAAAGTAATTAATCTTGTAAAGTTATTATTATTATACTTTCTTCTTTAATCTTATATGTATTTACAATCGTTTAAATATATATAACATGCCAAAAGTGGCAAAGAAATACCACCCTAGACTACAAATAGCCAAGTCGGGTTCTTTAAAGTATCTACAGAGAGCCATAAAGTATTCTTGTCGTATCAGCCAGTGCGTGTGCCATTTGTCCGGGGACCGGCACTTAGCTAAACAAAAACTGATAGTTGTAAAACAAAAGAGCGCAACAAAACAACGCACCTACAAGACCTGACCATTCCCTCCGCGAATAAACTAAGCGGTAAGAATTAACAGGGATAAAGGATTAAAAGAGTAGCCGAAGCAGATTTATGTCGTCGCGATTGCATCGGACCGATTCCGCCGGTTGCCGGCGTTTTATTGCAACGAGGCGCGTAAACCACTAAAGGTACACTTCTGAATCGTATACCTTACTCTCCGACTCTTCGAGTATTTGTTGTGTCTGGAAAATTTATTTAATTGCCCATTTTACAAGTACTGCTACATATCAAGAGCAATTAAATATGGTAAACGTTATCAAGTTACACAGAGCTAATTACTGTTAGCACTTGTACAGCACATTTGTTTTCTGAGAAAGCAGTTTGATAATCGTAAACCTAGAATGGGATAGGACAAGTCAGATGTAGACTCATTTCGAAATAAGCAATTAAAAAACTAACATTAAGACAATGGCATATAGAGATAGAATAGAGCTCAAGAATTGCCTTCATTTTGTTTGAATATATTTTCAAGGTGTAAACAGAATCGCAGAGCGACTCAAAGTATCACTTACCGGCACCATTGCTCATTCATCGCGAGTCTATTTACAAGAACGAATCGTCGCAGTTCTATCACGGCGGAGTCCTTTCACGCAACCCTTGCCGAGTTATCTGATAGTGCGGTGAAAGCGGACACATTTGTCCGGACGTCACCCGTTCACCGCTAGTGTAAAAATTGTCAGCGAATGCGTCGAGATAGTGATCTACCATTTGTGGAGTGTGAGGGTGTGCCGTGTGTTACTACGCTCGTGTAAATGTTTTGACGCTTGTGCAAGCACTCTAACACACTGTTAGACTGTTGAAAAATTGGCAAATGTTTTACCTGACACTTTGAAATCACTACTACCATTTAAACTATGATTTGATGTAAAGCTTTTGAAATACATAGAACACTATCGATCCGTTAAAAGTACTCTTTTCAACTTTGGCTATGTTACAAAATAATTATACAAAAATAAAGACGCCATGCAAAGAATTATATTTTACTGAAGTTTAAGAGCAATAATATGTTTAGTGAGTGGTGTGCATTATACTACTTAGTGTTAATATAATAAACACGACTAAGATGCAAGGTCGTTTCAGTAACACCTAACAATCGAGGCGGCGGCAAGGGTCGTGATTGCTGTAATTCTATGAAAAAAAGATCAACAGTAAAGTTCGCCATATGCATCGATTGGGAAAATGTTTCATCAACAATAATTTTATTATCGTAATAACAAAATTACTGGTTTGAAACATATGCAGGCAATTTTGAATCTTAAAAGTGCGCCGTGTTAGAGGTTGATTTCTTTGCCATTCACTTACATATCGGGGGGAGAAATGGAACCTTTTGTTGGCCTATAGCATTATTATTTCTCATTTTGTTTTGTTTATTAATACAATTGGCCCGGGGCGCAATATTGATATTCAAGTTTGATGATGACTCGTGCCGCGAGTTTTCTCCCCGACCTCTTCTGTATTTTTATGGCTTTTATAACAATTGGGTTTTGTTCGTCTTTTTAAGCGCGGGTGGTTTATATTAAATTTAATATATTCCATTATTTTTAGATCCATTTTTAGAAATAATATTAGTTTTGTAAATATTTTAAATTATAATAACTCGATATTTTGTATTGTAAGGTTGTAAAAAATTATCTTCCAAACATTTTATTGTAGCGCATGTAATTTAGGCTTTCTTTATAAAATGAGTTAACAATACTATGTCTCATAGAATGTCTTTCGTGGTGGAAACGGAATGAGGTGAATGAATAACTCGCAGAAATATCAATTAAACAATTATCCTGTCGGAGTGCAATCGTATGTAATGATAGTGGGTCGGGCCATAACTCAAGCGCATCTGTTACTGCGGCTATTTGTTGAAGGCACGACATGCGCCCGCGCAGACGTTGCGTGAAAAGCTTACTTGCTATGCGTTAAACCTACAGTATAACTTTATTTTTGTGCTTTTTTAAAGATTTAATTTTATTCAGTATATTTCTGTGAATAAAAATTTCACCTTAGCTACTTTTAGTGCCAATGGCACTTTATGATTTAGAATGATATATTTGAATGCCAAGATTTTTTTATACAATTCAAGATTTATCATGGAATTCCTGATAATTCTACAATTACATAGAAAATATTATAATATATTAAATTAATTAAGTAATATACACTCCAATATTACCTACTTATTGACAACATTGTACTCGAAACACAAATCTTATGAATCTGATCAGGTCGAAATTTGATATAGGTTCTACAAGAGTTTAAGACCACACAATCAGATGCCCTGACTTTATAAAAACTCCTTATAAAAGAAGTCTTTAGGGTTAAGTTAACCTGGCAGAACTTTAAGTTCAAAATAACAAACATGTAGGTTTGCAAGGTTACCTTTCTCGTAGCTGATCTGCCGCTCCTGTTGACGCGCGTTGTCTGCGGCGACCTTGAGCAGGCCTTGTATGTTGCGTAGCAGTGTTTCGGTGGAGGAGACCAGTGTGTCGGCGCTGGGGTCTACCGGTACCGGCGTCGCGGGGGTTGCCGCGTAGCTCACTGGCGCCGGAGACGTGCCTGCTTCACCTTCCTGCTCCCCCTCGCTCAGCTCTGCTCCTGGGGCAACGGCATCACTTAAGTTGATACAAGATAAGGTCTTAAAGACACCACGCTGCGGTGTTTTAGGAAGTGTCTAGCGACTGTGGATATTTCTAACAACCCGATAATTATTTGTTCCTGAATCCGAGTAGACATCTATGTATTATTAATTTCTCTGTTAAATTTATCCCATTCTCAAATAGCCGAAATGTAGTATAACATTTACATGTAGACTCGTATTTGAAAGACAGGGTTTAATTTTAATAGTAGGTAATAATCCCAACTTTCATCGACAACAAAGAAGAAAAATAATCGTTATGAAGTGACGTGTAAAATGATAAAATCGATTGGAATGAAATGTTAAAACAAGTCGTTGTTGTCCGTGAGAGAGATACATCAGGCTGTACAACGCGAGTGCGCAGATCGCGTGCGTATCATTGCAACTGCAATTATTATTGCCAGCAACATCGGTATCGCGTGGTGATCATCTTGAAGCTTTGATAGCAACGGGAACATTTTCAAAAGAGAAATTATTTCATTTCAAAAAAGAACGTAGCGATGTTATACATATTTTAAATCAATTACGATATTTGAAGTCATTCTTGCTTGGAGCTTTCATTTGCCGTATTTTAGATTAAAAAAAGGCTCAGTTAAATTAAATAGATAATAGATTTACTGAGAATAGACATTGTTTATAAATTGTATACTTTTTAAGTATTATGAATAGCGCCTATTAGAAATTATATGGAATATCGACGTGACTACGCCATAACATATTGAACTGGCCGTACCTAAGCCGATGTACTATATAACACTGGCAAAAGACGAAACGAATCATAATTAGAATTTAACATATTACGGTAAAACTACAAAATTTTTACATTATATTTAACGTATTCTCTTCTTATCAAATTATGTACATATATTTGTATTGACGAGGAACTATTTTGTGTAGTAATTATTATTGAAATACATACAACAATTATTATAGTTTTAATTTGTTTTTTATTGGTCATAATAGGAAAGTGTTCCATTTGGCGTCTCTCACGGTCCGAAGTGATCTATCGATACATTTAATTTACCTGACAAGATAGTGAATGCTCATCACATAATGAAGACAACATCGTTTCGTCATTGTCGATGCTCACGATAGCACTTTCCAGTTGTCACAACACCATCTTCCTAATAAGGCCAATTAACACAATTTTGAATAATCTACATTCGAAATGGTACCTTAACTGTATACACTTACGTATCGTATTACCATATCAAAGAAGGATGCGTTATAAGATCTTTTGAATATAACAGTATCTTGAGTCGGCAATGAGTGACGATTAAAAGAAAGAGGTAATCTCAAATGAACAAAGATTAAATTTGAGTGACGGGATTGTAACAAAAAATCGTCCTATAATGAGATTTAAGTAATCGTGACGACCGCTCAGCATGTATTGAAATATATAATTATAGGAGATGGAACATTTTAACTAAGATGTGTATAAACGAAAATACAATTGATTTAAGGAGGTGGTGTTCTTAAAGTTTGAAGTAGAAGAGTAATCATTTCTTGAAAGTAGAGATATTTGTATTAATTATAACAAAACAATTGAGATGTAATAATAAGAACGCCTATTAATATGATACTTATCATATTTGTAAAAGAGGTTTTTAAAAGTGGTTACTTGTCTATATCATTTAATGCCTAGCATTATTTTAGTTCCCTGTGTAGTACAAGTAAATGCTCGTTCTCACGCTCCCCGCGCATTTTGTGTGCATCTTGCACAGAACACAACACACAATCCTTATTGTTTCGCTTAATTTAGCCATTGTGCGCTTCCAATATTTACATTTGCGGATCATTGTTTTGATTTACACCATTCCGCGTCATCGATTGTAGCGTCGCTACCACAACTTTACATAATAGCCACCTCTTAAAGGTCATTACTCCCTATTCATTGGTAATAACTGTTGCATACAATAATAAGAATGTACTTCGAAGTTCATTATAATAAAGGACTTTGTTGCAAAGAAACTCAAGACTTGTTAAGATATTGTTTCACATTTTTGACAAGTTCCTTGGTAATATAATAAAAAAAAACAGTCATGTACTTCTGTTGTTACAGATTTTTATTTATCCATACTATAAACATTGCGCGTGTAACTGTTTCTATAAGTAATGTTCATAACGTGTTTTCACTTGATTGATGGTCTCACTAGTGATAGCGGCAACTAAATTGATTACAATAATTTTAGCAAGCCAAGATTCAATCAACAAAAAGCTGCAGATAAAACGAATGTTAATATGTCGCCAGGGAAATTGTCATGTCATCCATCATCAATCTAATAGTACAACATCTGTGGTAATAGCGAAATCTGCAAAGACTAACTCATTAGTGACATTTATTATCGTAATGATCACCGGGTGGCACTTTAAAATCAATAAACCGATATTCTTTAATATTCCATTTTTTATTCATATTGAAAATATTTACATACGTAATTACTAATAGTCACACAGAAATATTTTCAATAAGACTTTTGTTTTGGTGTATTGCGACACCTACGAATCGTATCAAGAATAAAGACCGAAGCTTAGACCTGGTCTACTTATATTTAGGCCTTGTAGCACTCTAGTTATTAATTTTAGTAAATTTCTTGTTTCCATTTCCATTTTTCAAGTAATAATCTTGAAAACATTTTAAAAGATTGAAGTAATATAAAGTACAGCGCTCCAGTGTTCAATACGCTCTTCAGGTAAGGTGCAAAATTGAATTGGGTCGTTTTAAGTGCTATTCATACATCATTGAGGGCAATTGCGGCCAATACTCGTAATAAGATTTTATTATATCGCTCCATTATAAGCAAACGTGCGGTGTCTAGGGATCAAGACGGGCTACGGTATGGGAACGAACACGATCGGTTTATTAATGGCTGGAAAATTGTTGACTACTTTTACTTACACGGTACATATCTAATCATTTTTGAAGCAATTTCGTTGTAATTTATCAATGAACGTTTATCAAACGTAAATAAAGTTAAATAGTATAATGTCCAGAACGATGTTGTATGCTCACCAAGCTAATATTAGTGGATTCTAGGTTTCATCAAAGTTAATTTACAAAGATTCATCACTATGGGACACGTCAACAAAGATGATAACTTTGCCTTAATTTTTTTAGATGATATCGTACGTGACTCACCGTCATCCTCGTCCTTGACGTTGTGTTCGTCCTGGTCGGACATGGCGGCGTCGCTGTCGTCGGAGTGCGAGCGTGGCGAAGCTGCTCCGGTGGCGGCAGATGGTAGCCGTGGGGGCTGCGGGGTGCGTCGCGAAGCGGCGGAGCTTCTCCCGCTGGCGGACCCCTCGCCCCTCTCACCCCGGTCGCGATCAACTCTTTCCTGCCGGTCGCGATCTACCCTCTCTTGTCGGTCGCGGTCGCCAGACCCTGACTTTGATAAGTTCAGGACAGGACTGTGGCCTGGGGAAGACCCTGTAGGGAAGAAATAGAAATAAATTAATACGAACAAACTAGCGCTTGACTATCCCTGATGCTTAGTGGTGTTGCAGCCGGAAAATAGTAAGCCCTTGCCTCTAATAACACTAAGGCAAATGCCTTATTGGTAAATCATACACAGTAACTTTAACGACATTTTGTTTTCTACGTTTTCTATTTTGTTCTTAAAATATTCTTTATAATTACCATTGTGTGAACCTTCGCGAGCTTTGTCCATTGCTATGACACGTTCAATGTCGCCTCGCTCATCACGCAACCTGCAAAGAACAGAATTATTTTACAATAATGATATAAAGCTATCATAATTAATCATGTTAGTAGTATAGAATAATGAAATTTATTCAAACATAATATTTTATTTTTAATTTTTTCTAAAACACTATTAATTACTACTTAATTGGCAAATATGTAAATCCGTTCAAATACTACTGTTTGACCAAAAAGTATACGAATATTTCCTTATTTGAAAATAGAAAAAAAAATGACTTAAATGCAAAGGCAGTTGCAGTTAACTTATAGACATATTGATTGATACATGTTTCTGAGCTGAGTGAGCCTAGCTGCGCAGTGATTGGCAAGACGTCGCCCCGGGGCTGCAGCCGCGCGCTCCCGGCTTCTGTTATTATGTGTACCTCGCATGAGCTTTTACACCAAGCGCCTACTGCTACTTTTATCTATATGTAGATATTTAACTACTGCAATGCTATAAGCCATAAATTAACGGTTAAAGGATTTAATCAGGATCTAGTGACGACTTTTTTTCTTTGTCTTTGCAGACAGATATCCTGTAATTTAATGATGTTATTCTTTAACCCCATAACTAATTCATGTGTTTTTCTATCTAACTGTCTTTTGTATTCGTATAAAATAACAAGTTCCAACATAAATCAATGCCACATTAACACTGTTCATGCGAAGATCGCTAAAAAAAGCAAAAAATAAGACTAAATTAGTGACGGCATCCCGATACGAATCCAAATAAAACTACAGACAAACAGTTTTATCATTGGAAACCATAAAGCATGCTACCCACTGAGTTGTTGAGCTACCTCAAAGGCAAAAGTATAATATCAGGGAGTCCCGCTGAGTTTCTTTGTGTACAATAAAGAAGGCGCGGATAATCATTTTGTATGAGGATCTGCCGCTACCCTAATTCCGCGGCTCTCTTCCCATTGTGACTTATTTGACTACCGAATGCTTCTGTTTCACTTTGTATTTATTAATGTTTTGATTGATTCTTTAAATCAAATTCATATACCGTATAAGTTATCGGGTAAATAAGGAATGATACATAATTCACTATGAACCCTTAATTTTATTGAAATAACAGAATTCAAGAACCTTCAAATGATCTACATAGTTCTAAGAAATTAATATTAAACCAATTAAATATCTGGTATTCCATTAACTGTCAATTCAAAATGGAATAATTACGTTGAAAATCTTGTTGAGCCTCGCCGCGGTGAAACATCGTGCGCATAATACAGAAATGACTATGAAAATTCATGAATAAAAGCAGATTCTGAAAAATGAATTACTTGTCGAAACCAATTTCGCTCATTTCAAAGGGGTGAAGGAGTGGGGGTTAATGCTACAATTTTTGCGCAGTAATGCCTTTTGAGCATTTGAATATAAATGACGTCTGAAAGTGAAATGTAACATACATAATAAGTGGCTGTTTTAAGCCTTCGTGAAACCCTTTTGTAGATTGTAGAGCAATGACTTGACAGACAAAACATATAAAAGGTGTAATATAATGCTAGTGGATCTTTTCTTTAATGGTTTGTGTAGAGCTAGAATTTAAATGGAAAATTTATGCGTGCTCTGAATTTGTAAAATTAAAATTTTGATCAAGTTATGAACTTTCCTATCCATGACTACCTTATCCTAGACAATCCATGAAAAAATATGAGAAAGGTAATTTTAACTACTTTTTAACAACATGGTTTGAAGCACGAAATCTTTAAAATAAAAATAAGCAAATACTTTCTTAAAAAAGTAAATCACAAAACTCTTCTTGGCTTAAGTTGTCTCTGAACTATGCGTTACTCTGTGGTAACCCTCGAAATAGAGTCGTTCCGTACTTTACTGACGAGTCACGACGACGCTCCGTTTGAATTTAATATATTTTTCATTTCCGAGACCATTAATATGTAAATAATTTCTTCTAACTTTAAAAAAAAAACACAGACGGGAACTGGCGAACTTCGTCAAGTTGATAAAAGCCGCACAGACTTGTTGATTTCACCATGAATATATTTATATCTATCCTTTTAATAAAAACTGTTCCCTTATTAAAAAAAAAAACATCATATCCTTTATATTGTAAGCAAACTAATTTATTTTTATTTAATTGTAAACGTATAAGGTGTTATCCCGAACTAATCGGAATGGAATGATCGAATCATCAAACTCTGATCGGACAATAGATAACGTTCCTATCAATAAAGTAATAAATTATTTCCACTTCCTTCATTTTATTTTGTACCATCGTAAAGTTGTTAATGTGATCGATGATATCAGAAAGGTTCACAATACAAATAACAATGACAATATATTAATTTTTAAAGTGTAAAAGTAGCATCTTGAAAACAGAAGTTAGAGTGAGATGTCAAAACAAATAACACGAAATTTTATTTTGAGACCTTTAAATAGTTAAATAAAACAAAATTACGTCTTCATTTGGAAAAACACAAAATATATGTTCAACGATTTAGTATCCTAGTGTTAGAGTAGTGTAAGAAGATATAATTAGGCACATAAACAAATTATAAAAGTAACCGTTATTTCAGGTGTGTAAAGTCCATTGATAACATTACAGTGTTTAGATAATGAAAATGTTCCAATGACTCAATTATGACGGTTAACTCAGTTTGTTAACGGCGGCGGCGGCCATATTCATTACAGAATGGCTGGTGGCCTAAACAGATATTCCGGAGGCGCGCGCGAGGACAATGCGCTCCAATCTACCACCAAAGCCGATGCACGCCGTGATTAGTTAATTCTGAACCGTTCACAGCCTAATACCGCTGCAGCGGGTTCGAACCATTCTTGTATGCATAATCTGATTACACTAGGTAAGTATTAAACAGAGCTTTGGATAACGCCGTCCACCATTTACATAGCTAACGCGAACTAAACGTTAATTACGTCATCGTTTCGATTATAAATCGATATTGTAAAATGTAATTAAACACGAATACAAATATAGACAGATAAATTTGCATTCTTAAGAATCGATTAAGAAAATCAAATCCGGCGAGCGCCGCCGCGTGAAACATTTGCTTGACACCCAAATCAAAAATCGTTTTAGCGACCCTCCGCTAGGGGAGTCAGGGAAGCGTCGACGCCTCAACATTTATTATTTCAGACATATCACTCACATGCAAAACAAACTCCGTCCGATCCATCAAAAAGTTTCTTATTCCCGTACTCCTCCCCCGTTTCCCCGCCTTCCCCCGACTGTTACGTCGCTCCCGCAACACAAATCGAGTGTGTAAGTAGTGCGGTTTGCGGAAACAGGGGGTCACGCCTTAATGTCTATTGCCTATTGATTTGAAATGAATGTTGATTAACTTACACTGACAAAACTTTCTCCATCAATTAGCTTCCTATAATTATTTAATTCATCTTGTGAGGTTTTGCTATGTCGCAGTTTAGCAATAGAAAGCTTCAGCTCAAGATATACCAATGGGTACAGTTTGACCGTATTTTCATTTAAAACTAAGAAGTGGTTTAAGAAGCCTACATTAATTAATTTTTATGGTTTTCATTAAAATTTACAATGATTATATAAAATAGTAAAGGTTTTTTTATTTCACGGTGTGCAATATGCAGTCATAGCGGAAAAATAAAAATAAGCTCAGTCATCCAAAAGAAATGAGCATTGTAACCTCCCTAACAGTCAACAAAGCTTCGAAGAAAATCGAGCGAAAAAAGGCTAAAAACACCTTAGGGGTTTACTAATCGAATAAAAAATATCAGCGGCCGATGTCGATGTGTGGGGGAGAAATGGAATAAATTATAAAGAAAATACAAGTAGCGGAAGGGGCCGTTGCAAGTAAAAACTTCCCTTTATCATATAGATAACTTGTCTTATGTTTATCCAGAAAGAACGACGCGCCTCGTAATTGTATCTTAATTTTTTTTACAGTAAGTTTGATATATAAGTAACAATTGAATATATAAAAATTAATTTATGAACAAAAACAAGAAATTGACCATCCCAGCAAAGGTAGCAGAACGGACGCAAATTAGGCAATCAATATCGTATGACAAGGAGGAAACACTTAAAGCGGAAGTAGGACGGAGAAACGCAAAAATAATAGGAAGACGTAACATGATGACTTGTCGCCCCCGCCTCCGACCCCGTCCCGCCGCCCGTGAATGCCGCGCCCTCTGCATAAACGTCACCGTGTCATTTGTAAAAATTGCGACCGCACAACTTCTACAAGTTTAGGACAAAGAAATGAGTGGAGTCGCTAGTAATGTTTTTTTTATTTTTTCTATCACATAATATGTATAATACTTTGAGATATTGCTTTTGAATAAGGCATACTAATTATTGCGATAGTATACACAGTACTTTACACATATGTTTATCGTGAACCCAATTGAAATAAGTTAATTGTTATATTTACAACATTTTGTAAAATTATTTAGAAAATCTTAATTATTTGAGATATTTATAATCACACTACCATCAATTAAACAATATAGTTTTAAGGTAAAATTTACATAACATTAAACAAAATATTCCGCCACTGCACACTACTATTGTACTAAACGGAAATGTCTAACGAAAGTAACCAGATTTTAAGGGGACCGTAGAAGAATCGTTTGCGAACAGGACCTCCGCGGGGGAGACCGGAGACAGTTATTTAAATTTGAATAACATAATATGAAAAAAATTACATCACTTAATACCGTAATAAAAGTGCACTAAGCGAGCAAAGCATTACGGCCGCCAAACGCAGAGAGGGACCGACGAAGTTCGCTTATGAAACGTGGAATGAAATATAAAACGTGTCTGCGAGGAAATAAAATATGTCTCCGTGGCTTTAGAGCTCATTACGATATTAGAAGTACGTGCCAAGATTTAAGTGATCGGAGGACTCGCGGTGGCGCGGTGATGAACACTTCAGGAAGTTGCTATTTAATATTCCTTTTTTGTACAGTAATAAATGTTATTATACATTTTGTTACGTTAGGCTGACAATTTTTAACTATGATTACAAACCATGGCGTTATTGTGTAT